ATGAAACAATATTTTCATTTTTCCTAGCCCAGGTTTTTAAGCTACAGTTGCTACTACTGCAGCCACAATTAATATTCCACCTTCCAAAAAAGAGGGGAAAAAAGAAAAAAGAAAAAGTTGCCCATGGATTCCAGGGAGAGGTTCCACTAATCTGCAATTAGCGGTGGCCTCAGGCAAATTATCTAAAATAGAAATGTTATTTTTGGAATGGTGATAGCCACCACGTTTTACTCCCCAGAACACCCGTTCTCTCTGCTGTGTGCTGTCATTAAAAATAGAATCCACAACAGCCACGCCTCTGCCTTTGGATTTCTTTCCTGCAGCAGGACAAGCACTGTCATCCCAGCACTGTCATCCCAGCGCTGCCATCCCAGTGCTGCCTTCCCAGTGCTTCCAACATGGGGAAATTACACAGATTTCTCGTCTTGCCAGAAATCCATTATCAGATCTGAAACACTGCACCCCATGTTTGAAGCAGAACTAGGTCTCGCCCAAATTCTCCTCGTCCTACTGACAGTGGTGCAGATGGCAATGGGTCCCCAACAGCTTTGTGCTTGAGATCCCAGCCCAAAACCTGTAGAAGACACTGAAGGTCTCCTTTCTTGTTCCAGAGGGGGAGAAATCCAGGATTTTAATATATCCATAACTTTAAACACCTGCCTGTGTCCTACAGGAGTCAAAAGGGTTCAGAAGCACCTCTCGTCTACAAGACATGCTCCAGTGAGGCAGCCACAGCCTCACCACCTTCACAGAGAAGGATTTCTCCCCAGTATCCCATCTAAACCTTCCCATGGCAGTAGGAAGCCATTCCCTGTATCCTGTCCCCTCAGTCCCTTGTCCCCAGTCCCTCTCCAGCTCTCCTGGAGCCCCTTTAGGCCCTGGAAGGGGTTCTAAGGTCTCCCTGGAGCCTTCTCTTCTCCATGATGACCCTTGAAATTCACACCTTGCTTGGTCAAAGCTTGGATGGAGCTGCCACCTTCATAAAGGAGACGGACAAAGGGCTTGTGGGCATTTCCTGGGAGAAAGAGACATCCACTGGGAAAATCTCCAAGTCCTCCCCTTGCCTTTTTTTTTTTTTTTTTTTTTTTTTCTGTCAGCCTCCTGCAAAGAGAAAGAAAGATCCCTATTTCCAGGTGGATCGGCCGGAACGAGGAGAGAGCTGCCCCCACCCCTCTCCCGACAGGCAGATCCAGAGCGCACCTTGCCGCGTTTATTGCCGGGATCACCCCGCGGTGGGAACCGCTGCTCCGGGGGTTTGCAAGGGGAGGAAGCAGAGGGGAAGAGCGGGCACATCAGCTGGTAACAGTTCAGAAACAGATGTACATTCCTGCACAGAGCTCCGGCCGGAGCGTATCCAATTACTTTGGAACCGTGCTCCGCCCCGAGCGTCTCATCCCTAAAGCCCCGCTGCCCGCACCTCCCGCCCCTTATCTGCGCCGCTCCTTTGCTTTTGATTATGAACTTGTCACCGCAGGGGGAGGGCTCTGGGGGACACAAGGCATGAGAGAACAAAGCCCAGCACCAGAAGGAATGGGGACAGTCTCGGCTGGCGCTGCCAAGGCAGCACGGGAAGGTGCCCACGCCGGGTCGCTCCCGGTGAGTGATGCACAAGGGCTGAGGAATTATCCCCTTAAAAAAAGGAGGGGAACAATGAATCAACTTAATCAGGTCTGGATGCAGTAGAGGTGGTTCGGTGCTGGGTGAAATTTGGGAGCGGGATGTCTCTGGAAGGAGAAGGGATGCTCTGCTCTCTCCTGCATAGCAGGAGGTAGAGAGGAGGAGGAAGGCAAAAAGCACAACAGCGTCTAGTTTTCCTCTAGTTTGCTCCAAAAATTGGTGTCCCTGGCAGCTCCCCCAGCTGGAAGAGCAGCCTGGATGTACTGAAAGGATATTACCTGCACTGTCAGGGCATCCAATCTTTTCCTGCTTCCCACGCAAGCAGAGGGAGGGGTGGCAGGAGGCTAAAACCCAAACCTTCTCCTCTTCAGCACAGAGAGGCCAGAGGGTGATTTTCTGGCCAAATCTTGCCCAGGGGACAACTGGACCACAGGCTTCCTATGGAGAACAAGCACTGATCCCAAATCCCAATCCACACTCATTATTGCCCGCTAGCAAAAAGATCTGTGAGCCCGGTAAAGGCAGGGGAACAACGTGATAGTGAGTGTCACACTCAAACAGGGCATTACAATTCCACTAAAACTACTTTTTTATGTGGCAGTTTTTTATTCCCGAACCTCTCTCTCCCTTGCCCCGGTGGGAGGAAGGATGGATCCAACCCAGCCCACTTTGCCAGCGGCACCTTCGTGCTGCTTCCCCCACAAACCTCCCCAATCTCTCCTTTCCTCCAGGAAAGCCGGATCACATTTCAGCCGGGGCTGGTCCCGCACCTTTGGTCTGCTCCAGGGCAGATATTTGCAGGATTGTCACCACGGGACTTAGTCCTGGCACCAAGCACAGCAGCAGTGGAGGGTCCAGACACACTCACACAGCAGCTCCAGAGTGATGCTCGCTGGAGCCGGGCTCAGAGACTCCATAATTACCCCACGGCCAAATCCCACCATAAATTTCCCCTAATGAAGCCTGCCTGATACTAAAAGGCTTTGCACATTTAGAGGTTATGCACAGCAGCAATTCCCTTAGGGAGAAATCCTGCCTCGATCCTGCAAACACTCCTTCGGTCTTGTTTGCTGAAGCGAGGCAGGTTTTTATTTAATTTATTTACTTAATATTAGCTGTTTAACCCAGAGGAGCACGGGGCTGCTCTGCTGTTGCCGCCGTGCAGCTGGAGAGGCACATCCCAGAGTGCCAGGAGCAGCAGCCACTCGGCTGGACCAGGATCACGCCACGTGGACACAGCTTCTTCCCAGCACGGCTCCAGTGAAATGCCCAGGAGCTGTGGCCGTGCTTGTATGGGATTATCCCAAACACCCTCTGCCAGCTGGGAACTGGGCATGTTGAGATCCATCCACACAGTCCAGCCCCAGAACCCCTCTGTCACTTGTAGGATCAAATCCCACCCCATGGAAACACCTCACACCCTGGGAAATCAAGCCCTGCTTTCGGTGGTCATGGCAGGGCCATAAAAAGCTGGAAAATAAATTTTGGCAGGGCAGGGGGAGAGGAGAGGCATAACCAGCAGCTCCACTCGCCCTCCTCACCAGCTGGGATCATCTTCCCTTGCCCCTGGTGCTCTCAAACACAGCTCAAAACATCCCTGCTCCCTCTCTGAGCAGCTTTTTGTGGGCACCTGCAGCCCTTTTGGACAGGCCACCCCAGGAGCTCAGCCCTGCATCCCCCATCCTCCCATGCTCCATGAATCCCTGCATCCCCCCTGCCCTCCTGTGCTCCATGAATCCCTGCATCCCCCCCATCCTCCCGTGCTCCATGAATCCCTGCATCCCCCCTGCCCTCCTGTGCTTCATGAATCCCTGCAAACCCATGGCGCTCGCCCCCAAAATGCGGTGCTGTGAGCCAGGAACCTGTTTGCTGGGAAAACCAGGAATGGTGCCCCTCCAGCCTTCAGTGATGGCTTCCCTCAATGCTTGGAAAGGATCCCAGGCACTCAGGAGGCTCCTAAATAACCCCAGCACAAACCAAATGCCTCTCACAAGGGGTGGCATCACCTTTGAGGTCCGTGGTAGGCACCATCCCAGCCCACTTGCACTCGTGGAACTCCAGGTTTCGGATGCCGGACCAGCCCTGGGCTCCAGCCCCAAACCCTTCTGGAAGCAGCATTTGGGGTAGGAGCGGGAGCGGCACCCGCCCTGCCCAGCCCACCGGGCTCTTAAATTGGATTAAAAATCTATTTGCAGAATGGCCTCGCTTTCCGACTTCTGTGCTGCACCTGAAAACCTTTCCTTTGGAAAGCAAACAGAGGCTCTCCCTGGGGGCTGCCTGGGGAAGGCTTTCCACTATAAACATTACCTACCAGCAGTGCAGCCAGCCCCAGGCAAGCCAAAAATTCCTTCTCCTACCAAGAAACACTTTCCAATCAAACCAGACATTATTTTTTCCATTAATGAGTGTTGATACCAACTGGAAAACTTTGCAAAGAAATGCACTCTAAACTAATTCTTCTGATACAACATTGACATTTTATGAGTTTCTTTTGTCTTATTTCTTTTTATTTTTGTTATTGTTCTATTTTATTTCCCTGCTCCGTATTTGAAAACATGATCTTTGCCGCTCAGGAATGCATCTGTTCCTGCAATTTGGGCTGTGACAGAAGTCAGAGGTCCAAATCTGATTTTTCTCTGCCTTAGCTCCACAGAAGCAAGCAGAGTTTTCCCACATTTCCCCCTACAGCGTGATGGAGTGGAAAAAAGAGACTTGTCTTCTGTTGGATAGATCAGAAATCCTGCTATCACAGTTTTTGTGTGCTGGGATACCACAAATTCAGCAGCAGGATATTCTGGAGGAGGAAAAAATGTCCTCCTATCTACCTTGGCTGCTGATTCCCTAAAATGTACTCTGCACCCCGGTGTGGGCACGGGATCTCTGCAGCCTGGCCACGGACCCCAAAAAGCCCGGGGTGGGTGCAGGGGGTTATCCTGGAGGGGTGCTGCAAATCCAGCATCCTCGGGGGCGGGGGGGGGGGGGGGGGGGTTCGCCA